ACAACCTGTCCACAACCTGTCCACACTGTTTACAACCTGTCCACAACCTGTCCACAACCTGTCCACAACCTGTCTACACTGTCCACACACTGTCCACATCTGTCGATACACACGTGTGCAAAGATGCGGGGGTTTACTGCATATGACCAATCACAGACATGGACGGTTTGACTGAGGATCAAACTGTTGAATAATAAAAATCAGCGAAGAACAAAGATCCAGAATAAAAGAAACAGTTCCAGCTGCTAAACGAAGAAGAACAGCTGGAGACACATCTGGATGTGTGAAGACAATGTGTAAAATGTAGACTGAGCTCCTCTGCATCAGCCACAGTGAACAGGTAACAGGTGAAGTACATGTAGACAGTCTGTGGTACTGTGAGTACTTTGCTCCTTCGGGTCAGGTTGGTTCTGTTGAAGCTCCAGCAGCTGACAAAGGTTCATCCTCTGAGGAGAATCTAGATCTTTCAGAAACTCCTCAGAGGATCTTGTGGGTCTCTGAAGACCCTGGTCCTCCTCAGAGACTGGAACGATCCACAGCAGCTCCACGATAACTACATGATGTCATGGTTCAAAGGAGGGGAGTGGTCAGTGGGCGGAGCTTTTATACTTTTTGATCTCTTATCTCCAACTTAACCTGGAGCAGGTCAGCTGATCAGCATGTTACCATGGTGATTAACTCTGATAACAAGGGAACGAGCTTCGTAGGACTGAAAACTCTGAATTAAACCTGAAGTTAAGTGATAACCACACATCCTGCTTCATGGTTCAGGCCAGGATCTCACCTGTGCAGATGTGAGCGGAGATCAGGTCAGTTTTTTGTGTGTGTTCTCAATCTGACAGGAAGTGATGTCATTGTTTATTTATAAAATGATGGTTTTGTTCATGAAAACATTTTTATTTAGATTTTAAAGTTTAAAGTTTTAGTTGTAAAACTAACATTTGATTTATTCTGTTTAGAGACACCGCAGAAATAAAGGTGTGATGTCACTGGCTCCTCCGCTCAGGTTAGTTCCCGCCTACTTCTGGCTGATGTTACAGATGACGGTTCACAGCGGAGAAAACACACACTCAACTTCCTGTTCACTCACACAACATTGGATTCGTTGTTTGTCACATGGTGACGATGATTCTTTTGAATAATTTGACTCGGAACAAACGTCATCACTAAAGTAATAATTTATTGAGAAAACTGTACAAGATTAGATTCACAACCAGCAGAGTCCAGCAGGGACGAAGAGGGTTCTGTTAGGAACCCGGGGGTCGTCCTCCTTGTTGCTCCTTGATTGCTGCATTCAGCTCTGACGAGTTCTTGTTGGACTGGATCTGGATCTGGCTGCTGTCAGATCCTGGTCCCAGACGAGCTTGGTCACAGAACTGCACGAGGCCTCGTCTCAGCTCTTTGCGGATGTTGTCGCTGGACAAGACGTAGAGGATGGGGTTGATGGCGCTGTTGACGGTGGAAAGGCCGAGGGAGATGGTGTAAGGGGTGTACATGGTCTCCTCGAACAGACAGGTGGCGTCTTCCAGCTGAGTGAAGTGGAACATGACAGCCCTGACCAGCAGAATCAGGTGGTATGGGGCGAAGCAGACCAGGAACAGGATGACCACCGCCAAGGCCAACCAGCGGACATGCCTTTTCTGCTCATGCCTCAGCCCCGTGCTGCGCTGCACGTTGACCAGGATCCCGCGGTTTGTCGCCATCAGCAGCAACAGTGGGATCAGGAAGCCGACAATGAAGCGTGCATAGTTGAAGCACATCACCGTCGGACTGCTCTGACTGGGCTCAAAGCAGCGCTGGTCTCCCTCAGCAGCGTCGCCCTCACTCATGGTGAAGACAGGAAGGTGTCCGACTGCGACCAGTAGGACGATGGCGAGGCCAATAAGCACGGCGAGGCGCTGCCTCCGCAGACCTCGGGACTCCACACTGTAGACCACGGCCACGTAGCGGTCACAGGAGATGCAGCAGAGCAGGAAGATGCTGATGTACATGTTGTTGAAGAAGATGTAGCCCGTTAGCTTACACACGGCTGAACTCCACGGCCACACGTGACCTCGGCTCACATAGTGCGCCCACAGAGGCAGCGTGAGCAGGTAGGTAAGGTCACACAGCGACAGGCTCCACAGGTAAACACCCAACACGTTCTTCCTGCACACCTGCAGCCAGGTGAGATAGAGGGTCAGCAGGTTCGCAGGCAGTCCGACCACCAACACCACGCTGTACAGCAGCACCAGTGGCAGACGGCCATCGTCGTATGGCAGCTCACACGCCGCCACCGAACTCTCATTGTTCATCGGAGAAACTGTGTCGGTCACTGGAAGCTCGTGCATGATGTCTGCAGAGAAACAGAGTTTGGTTTATATAAAGTTAAATGACGACTCGTCTTCAGAGGAAGATCATGAGACGTGATCGAAAGCTGCAACCGGTCAGAAACAAAAGTGATTTTAACCATCGAGAAACAAGTTGAACAAGTGAACGCCTCACGTATCCTGTCTCTCTCTTATTTATTAATTAATTAATATTAATTATTTTCAGACCTAACTCCCATCATGCCCTCTGGTTTTCCCGTTGAGACACACAAACGCACTTGACTGTGAAGAATCTGTTGAGCTCTGATTGGCTGATTATTTCTGTGACCTCAATTTTAGTCCTGATCAATAATTTAACCTCATAAATCTCTGACTGAGCAGCGTCCAATCACATGCAGCCGATGTAGGAGGTGGGCGGAGCAGAGCGTTAATAATTAATGGTTGACCTCGTTATATCTGACAAATAAAAACACTGGATATGGAAGAAACATCGTTGCTATGGGAATGGGTTGTTATGATGTGGAGTTGTAGAAAATATTCTTTTAAAGTAACGAGACGTCAAGTTCAAGTTAAAACACAAAACTCACAATTATATATAATCACAATAATAGCTAAAC